AGGCACGCATTGGTATCAACGCAGAGTACTACTCAAGAAGTAAAATTTGACTGATTTTCTTCAAAACGACTTGCTTGTCATCGCTCGTATGGTGCTACCGTCTTCCTGCCGAACCTTTCCAACAACTGCTATGCGTGTTGCGGGCCTACTCCTACTATGTAATCGACCAACTCTGTCAATCTCTCACTCATCGCGCAGAAGGTCTCCCAGTGATAGCTTTCTCATGTACCAAGTTTTGTGATCGGTAGACCTTCAAATCACTCGCTGTTCCGATTTCTACTTCATCCACGCGTGGTTCGGGTCCGGTTCACCCCTTCCGCTGTTATTTGGGAATAGCTTGTCTGATCTGACATCTTTTTGCATCACAATCTTTTATCTCAATTCTGCTCTCCCCAGAACTTTGGGAGTCGGGCAAATTTTTGTTGTTACATCCATTTGCGCATATACAAACGCTTAAGTTGATTAGTCCAAAGCACTTTTGCTGCAAGCAGGGAGCATGAGACAGACTCCACTGAGCATCTGCACTGATATTCATACACGGCCTAACAGGCTTTACCCCTATCTACTCTCAACACGGAGTTGGACTTAAGCTTTTGTGTGTTTTGTTATATTCTTTATTACTGTTTATGCTCTAATTGTTTCGTTCTTTGTTCCAAATATGGCACGCCTTGTGCGTATTGAACAAATAAATAAATGAAATTTGATTTTGACAAAACCTCAGCTTTTTGGTGCCTTGGAGGTAAGAGTGGTTTTGGATTATACAAATCTTCTCGGAGTTTCAACATCGGTATGTCGGTAGCATAGGTGAAAATCAAGAATGTTTCAGCAGATTGAGCTGTTGAACTTGAAATTTTCGTTTTTTCCGTTTATTTTCGCTTGCAATTCTTGCTTCAATCCCAAGACTTACGATCTCGCCGAACCTCTCCTTCGAAGGAATCTAGCACATGGCTGGTTCTTCTTCACTTTTTTTCTGTGATTCCAACAATTCCCGAGTATTCCGTGATTATATGACCGCTGTTTCTACCACATAACCACTGAATCACGGTTGTCATAACAATTTACAGTTTTCATGCATTCTTTGTTATGAGAATTACTATTTTTTGTAACTTAACCAAGCAGCGAGTTTCGGTAACTGATGAAGATTGAGAGTTGACGCAAAAGTGGATATACTACACGTCAGACTATGAAAATCAACGCAGAAATGGATATAGCACATGCAATACACTGAACCAATGAAATTTATGCAATATTGTGTACATTAAATCTCAATACTCGTAATGCAAAAGTGACGTATTCGTAGACTTTTGTAGTACGCTGTCATAAGTGAAATTTTCTTATAAAGTCTAGCCTACAATAAATATCTCATTATGACTGTGTAGGCTAGCACTTGCACTGAACGTTGGACAGAGCCTCCAGAATCGGTGATTGGGCACTTGGAGATGGGCCCCTAAAAATGGCTGATTTCTAAGAGAGATGAAAATTGCGGGTTAAACCAACCTTATTTGGATCTTCACTAATGTTGAACTGGATAGGTATCCTTTTTTCGAAGTATGTGACCGTTTCACAACTCACCACTAAAACAGTATCAAGTTTACTACGCGAGATCTTGTGAACGGCAGGGACTACCACTGCTTACATCTCTGCGGCTGAATAAAATATTTTTTCCTAGATCTGTATCCAGGGCAAGCGCGATCGGCACGTATGAGAGTCAGTGTCGTTCCTGGTATAGGATAAACCCTTGCGTATCTGTAAAGAATGATGCTTGGCATCTCAAACGGAACTTCGTTGCCTTTATGGTAACTGCGAACCTTCACTCAAACGAGAGAGTATAACATAACGAAATTTCAACGATTTCATCGTCGAAACACCATTCCTTTGAATTTTGTTTGAAACACATTGACATTTAACCGTTCTTTGAATATAAATTTTTTACGGATCTGGAGATATTGTTATCGTTGGTATATATAATCAAGTAATTAAAGTGATGTACTGCGTTGATCACTACTCCATCAAAGCAATTTATTGGTGAGCCGTTGCATGCAGAGATAAAGCGTCACTGCAGACGGTGTCGGCGTCTCTCATTAAGCGCACTCTTACCACTCCTACTTGCCTCTTCAAAGATATACTATTTTGGTCGGACTTAGGCCAGTCTCTGGTCGCGCTGACTCATCTATACTTCATTAAACTATTAACCCGCGATCTATGGATGTTTCGCTTATCAAAAGTTCCTCACTTTTCTGAACTATATCAAAAACAGATATTGAGTTGTCCATAGATTGATGCATGTTTTGCTACCCTTCAAAGCTCCTAACTCAGCCCAGACACAAGCTTTCTTTTCAGATAAAACCCATTCAAATAAACACATCCTTCCACATCCAACGTGATAATAATTTTTTTTTGTACCAGCAGCATGAAAATCTGTAGACGTAAAGGGGGCGATAAACTGTAGAGGAGCATTTTCAGTATCGCATCCTCCTTTTCCTTGAAAATCGTCCCCTGTAAGAAGTTGTCAAGATTCTTGAAAAAAAGATATCTCTTGTAGGAGAAGGTCCGAGTAAGCAGGATGAAGTAGGGCTTTGTACCCTCACTCGTTTAGCTTCTGCAAAGTCCTTACCTGGTTCCAAAAAGTTATAGTGTATAAGACCATCGACTGATCACCAAACAATGGATGAATCTTGTTTCGACATCCTGATTCTAGGACTCAAATCTTTGAAAAAATATTTGCTCTTATGTCTAGTACATGGTGTGAAACAGCTGTGGCTTCAAAATAGTGAAGAGCTTGTTAATCAAAAATTTCAGAATACTCCAAAATAATTCTACAAAAATTGGAAAACGAAGACTTGCCGTAATTTTCGAACAACCTATTAAATAAATGAGGAAGTGTACCTGGCACATTTCATGTCACTGAGCTGTATTTGTCTCGAAATATTCAGAGTCATCTCGTAGTTGGTGTGTCGTAAAAAGCACCTGCAATTGTTGCGTACAAGTCATCTTCGGGAAACCGCGAAAAATTCAAAGTGGGTGTGGGTGGAGTCGGTCTTTAGTAATAGTTAGGGTGACGTCGAATTAGTAGCAGCACGCCTATGCAAAACCTGTGACTATGATCCTTTTGAGAATTATCAGACAATGGATACATTGCGAGGAAGCGTTTGTAGGCCTCATTTTCGGCAGCGCTACGTCTCCTAAAAGAATGTCCTGGTCAAACAGGGTTCTTAATAATCATTGTAATGCTGCAGCTTGCCAATGTTGTCAGATGTTCCCAATACATTTTTTCCCTATTTTATAGTCGAGTCATAACACACTGGATGTCACTGCGGATCTACGTTGTTTTGGTTAAGCTTCTTTATTCCTTTTATCGTCTGCTGTCTCTTCTATGCACCAGCTAGTTTGGTCGGAAGCAACGGCATTCACTCTTTGCGTGCGACGATTCGCTATATCCTCGAGTCATTTGTAACATGATATGAGAGCGTGCCCATTATGCGCGACAACTGACAACACTCTCCCTAGTGACTCTTCAGCAGAACCTTTTTTTGCGTAACATCTGCAGAAAATGCACGGGTGGGGGAACGAAAGCCGCCAGTTTGAGCCGCCTTTTGCGGCGAACTGGTCCTTTCGCAGTGTTGTTGCATGTCGTTCCAGGACCAGCAGTCCGCAGAGGCGGCCCAAACTGGCGGCTTTCGTTCCCCCACCCAAAATGCACTACTAACTATATACCTAATCAAATTAAAAGAGACAAGAAAAGAAGAAGGTATCACTGGAAATGAGCATATTCTAGTCTTACAAGTCGTCAAGAAAGGCATGGTGTGCAGTACGCGGGATCCGGCACGAAATGGGCAGTGACAAGCAGGAAATTGTTTTGGGTGAAAAAAGCAAAACAGGTATCGTTTTTGCGGAGCTCGGGGTGAGCCTTGGAGAGAATTGTTACAATGTCAAATTCTGGGCTCCATAGGTTGCGCTTTCGCGGCATCAAATCGCGCCGCCGCTGATTGCCGCGCGAGCGCCGTCTCTCAACCGATGCAAGTTGGAGCAGCATGCATCACTCATTTGAATGTATGCATTTGACACCAGATTGCGTGCCAATTGATTGAATAAACGTAGGTTAGTGGAGACAAGCTATGAAATATTATGCAGAACCTATGTGATTGGATGTGTACTATGCTAATTTCCAAAATCATAATGGGCGAGTGGAGATGTGAATTAAAACGGCTCCTTGGCAAAGCACAGGCGAGGATATGGTGCAAAGGTTGGTACATACATGGACACCGGCCTGCAAGAGTTAACTGAGAAGTTTCACGGAAAAATTATGTGATGGCAGGCTTTTTTAATTTCTCACTACTGAATCGTTTGCAACGCACAGATGACAATAGGGCACGAAATTTCGTATGTATAAGCGCAGTGGGACTAAGGAACTAACAAGGAAACGATACTTGGTGTCCGTGACCTTTTGAGATGAGACGTATGCCCTTATACTCGTCTTGAAACGCTGATTCCGAATCTGACTCCCGTTTCTGCTGATCGTTACTCTAAAAGAAGTTATGAAGGATTTTCGAGTCAATCAGTAGCCCAAGAGAAGTACTATCGAGGATGCCTAATTTTCAAAAAAAGTTGATTGAGGCAAGACAAAACTAAAAACACAAAAGGACTCGAACCTAAACCTGTATTGACTTGTGAGGCTATCGCACTAGACACTACACCACATTGTAGCGGCAGTTTCGGCATTCCGACTTTATTTCCTTTGGGCAAAAATCCTTCATAACTTTTTCCAGAGAAATGTTTAGCAAAAACGAAAGTCAAATTCGGAATCAGCGCTCTAAGGCGAGTGTAACGGTATACATCTCATCTCAAAAAGCCCCGGACATCAAGTATCGTTCTCTTGTAAGTACGAAAATTTGTGAAGACTTGTTACAGTAAAGAGCATGCTCAACTTTTTTTTGAATTAGGTTGGCAATTGCCCACCTAATGCCCATCTGAGGTCGGTGAGACTTCCATTTCACACAAAGGTTTCTAAAATTTCTTCATAATCTATTCTACACCTAAAGCCTAGTATATAGCAACATTTCGGTTCCAAAACTCCACCTCTTCTTGTTAGGATTAGCCTTCTTCCTTCAATGGACGCCGGTCAGGAAGAGAACGCGCTCTCATCGAACAATGGCAGCTGGCAGATCAAGTGGGAAATTGTAAAAATTGAAAGCGGCAAAGGCGAAGTCGTCCCACTAATGTCCAATTGCCACCTTCGTGCTGGGCCTCGATAGTACGCACATTACGTCACAAATGGCTCGACGATAAGTTAGGGTTAATGCAACACTCCCAAGCACAGACTCAGACAATTGCATCGGAAACTTCGCGGATGCTTGCCCGATTATCAATCATCCATGGCGCGAGCTGCCAGGTAAATTGATATTGGACCCGATTAGTGACCGCCGGCGCATCCTGTAAGTGCCCTTCAAGCGTCTGTAGTTGACCCGATTAGCATGCTTGTAAGGTTTGGGAAGAGTGAATGAACCTTTCAGCTTGTCCTTCACGATGAAGACTTGAGTCCAATTCGAGCAATATGTTTGCTCATCTGTCGACATCACTATTATCCTTGATAAAATTCGTCCGACTATTAAAATTCGCTTCGTAAGCATAGAAACTCAAATCTGTCAGATAGGATCAAATCCGAGAAACGACACCAAGCCTCAAGAACATTTAAGGTAGCCCAACCATTGCAGCCCTTACGCGGTTGGCGCCTCAAAGGCAGTGGCTCGGCAAAACTCAACAACTCAAAATTTTAACGCGGTAGAACTCCTTATTGCCCAAGTATGAAAACAGTGCAATTCCGGTTGCATAGCATCCTTCCTTGCCGAGAAAATTGCTTTCATACTTACACGCGCAGGCCATTCTTACACGCATCCGGACGAGTTAGCAATTTCCTTCTCACCGTTGGAGGCTGCCCGCCGCAATGCTATAACCATTGGGTTCTGCAACGATTCGGCGTCATCAGCCTTGCAGTACTCGTCCAATTCCAAAGGGAAGGGCATTGAAAAACGCTCGTTTTCGGCATTTTCAAGCTCTCAAAAGTGGATTTTCGGAATCAGCGTATTGAATAACCCCAGGTAAGCGAAAATTTGACTATGTTGAGATTTGCCGAGCCACTGCCTTTAAAGGCAGTGTCTCACCAAAATTTGGTTGCTGAGATTTTTCCATTTTACAAGCCTGTCGGACCCTGTCTAGCACTGTATGGACTTAAAATCGCACGAAGTTCCCAAAAACCCCGTTTTCTGGAGGCCCCGCGGAAGCAACGTGGACGAGTTGTACCTTCCAACTTCAGCCTCAGCCACAGTGGCAGCAACAGAGGGGAGGTGGATTCCAAGTGGAGGAACATGTTCAAACGCGTAAGGGGGGAGACCGAAGGAGTCGTCCGCGCGTACCAACTGGCTCTCCGCGTACCACTTTGAGCGAATTTTTCTCAGCGTAGAGGGGGTCAAATTGAGTGAAACTTGATGCAATGGCCTACTTAGAGGTCCCTATAATAGAATATGTAAAGATCCCCGCGACCTCAACTTTGGTGAGACACTGCCTTTAACCTACGGAGCGTAGGAAGTGCGGTCTCTGACAATGCCCGCGGCCCGCCGCGTGATGTGGTTGGGCCGCGGCTCTCCCGATAATCTCTTCCCAAGTTCAACTTCGGTCGCGACATTCCCGTTGAAATATACATGGCGACGTGCGAGGCTGAATTTTCATGGGCCGCGGCTCGTCGGGCGAAGATTGTGTTAGCCACGGCGCGACGTGTAACTCGCTTTGAGGCCGCGAACTTTTCGATGCAGTTGTCTTAGAAATTATCCACTCCTTACCTCTCGACAGGCTTTATTCTTTGAAATCGACATATTCCTCCCGACATTGACGGTTGGCCAGCAACGAACGATGTCATCAAGTAGTACAGATCGATCCTAAACAGGGAATCTTGTATTTGAAGTTGATTTAGAAGACGGTCGTCATCACCAAAACGTTTTCCCTATAAGCGTTGCCACAGTGTTGAAAATTGCCTTAAACGGATTTGCACGATATGGCGCAGGACTGGACCATGGCGCCGCTCTACTAGCCATGCACTCAGCTTGCGCATCAACCCAAGTAGTCCTGAAAATTGGAGAGTGGTCCAATGACGTTCTCAGAAAACTCTACCAACGTCTTTACAAGATGGTTTTCCTCCAGACTAGTGAATAGTTGCGGATCAAATCGAGGCAATGGTGCCGGTTGCCTTTTTGTTGAAGAAGCTAGCACAAATCCACTTTTTGTTATGATGAGGCAGTCCATCTGCAAGAATTACGGTAACAAATCAGTTGAGACAGGCAGTATCAGAGAAGAGGTGCCCATAAGTACCAACAACCATCCTGCTTGACCTGTTCTGAAGCGTCGCGCAAATCCAAATCTCTCTCCCCCCTCTCCCCTCCCTCTCCCCGTATTTGCTGAGACGAACGTCGCGGGTGTTCTACGCGCGATGGTTTACGGAAATGACTCCAGCACACCACACTCATAGAGGTTTAAAAAAATCTTTTGCCTCAAACTTTCTCACGGGTGTTTTAGAAAATTCTCTCCTCATAATTTTTAGTTTTCAGCAATTCGTCGAGCAATAGTCGACCAATTCTCTTACCTTCTTGCAATCAGACCATTGCGTGCTTGCTCGAGTCCAATTAGTGAATAAGGCATTCACATAAGGCATTCTCCATTGGACTCCAAAAACAGCCAATCGGTTATCGTAGCGGTCGGTTATCGATCGGTACGCGACTGTGACATCATTCCGTACCGCAAACTGTAGCGGTCTACCACCAACTTCTTTATCAACTCTTTCTTCGTCGAATTTTGCTATCGCGTCCTTCATATAGGATTTTGTACTGGAAATGATTAGTACACCCCTTTTGAAAATTTTTTCCAGAACGTAACTCACCAACTCGGAAAGAAGACTTCTATCTGTGAACGAGTATGGACAAAAGCGTTGATAAAATATCGCCTTGGAAATTCCGACGTTAACGCAAGATCTTCACATGAGAAATTCGCACTCATATCTGAATTGAGTGTATGGTAGGTAAACAACCGTCAAAAATTCAGGTTTCGAGGAAAAAAGTATTAGGTTGTCTCATGTCTCTCTCTTCTCTCTCTCTCTTTTCAACTTCGATTATTTACCGCGATAAGTCACACACTTCTCAATTGTGATTAGAATACAGGGTACCGTTGGATAGAGCAAAGCAAGCTCTATAAGATAGTGTGTAAGTGTTCGCACCAGCTTCAGCACATCACAAATCAGAAGCCGAAATTTAAGAACCTTCGGATGCCCAAAAAACTGATGGTTTTTCATATCCTTTTTGAAGAATACTTACCAGATTCCAAACTTGCTCACGCATACACTCCACATAAAACATTCACATGTGCAGTTGCTGGGTTTGATCTGTGCTAGAAACCGAGAAAACCGAAATTTTCAAGCTTTCAAAAAAGCGGTGCTGCGTTGTTCTAACATAGGTAAATGTATATTACAGGCCTTTAGAAATTTATCGGTAAATTTTCAGCTTCTTGGAAGGGCTATTTCCCGAGAAATGTCGAATTTAACATTAAATTCCCTAGCAAAAAAAGCTAAATTCGGTAATTCTTGAAAATTAGCCCCTCCAGAAAGCTGAAAATTCACTGCTGTATTTCTGAAGGCTTGTAGTATACATTTATCCATGTGAGAACAACGCAGCATCGCTTTTTTGGAAGCTTGAAAATTTCAGATTTCTCGGTTTCTAGCACAGAAACAAACACAGCAACGGCACATGTGAAGGTCTTATGTGGGGTGTATATGCGTGAGCAAATTTGGGATTTGGTAAGTCTTTTTTGAAAGGAGATATGGAAAATTCTCGTTTTTTTGGGTATCCGAAAGTTTTTGAATTTCGGCTTCTATTTCGTATTGTGCTGAAGCTGGTGCGAACATTCACACATATACAGCAGGTCATGCTTATGCACAATCTTTACGGTACTTTGGCAACACAATGATGGGTTACAAAGAGAGGTGCCGTGCTTGTAATAGCCATAAATAAACTCGCTTAATTTGACAAAATTTAGTTTGTTCAAAGTTATTGATTTTGAAAAAATTATAAGATTTTGATGAAGAAATCGCAAAGCGGACAGAACTTTTGAAACAACCTAATACTTCTATTAGGCTAACGTACGTTGACGTTGCCTGCGGCGTGGTTGACGACATAGCAGTTTACCCGCTAGTGTGCACAGTGCACATAGACTAGTAGATTTATTGAAAAAGTCGACTTGCCCGCACTGGGGCAGTGGAAGAATGTTAAGGTAAACCGGCATGGCAAAGTTAGTTCTGGGCAATAAAGAAATATTTTATAATGGGGAGGGTGTAATGAGATAACATAAGCACACTTTTCTCCAACGTAGAGAATGTCGTACTTCTTCAGTATTTTTCAAAGATAGAAGACAAACTCAATTATTTAACAAGCGACAACAATTTACATAAGTGACAGGTGATGCATTCAATATTGCATATGTTAGTGCAAAGCGAGAACAAGCAGAAACCATCGGCCAATTGGCTTTTTTCTTATACGACAGCAAGAAAAAATCAAATATTATTGGGTTGTCAACAAAATAATGTCGTTTTTTTCGGGTTTTTTCGTGTAAAATTGATATTACTTGAGAACTAGAGCATATTCAAAGCCGAAATTTTATGATTAAATTTACGAAGGTTTGTAGTATACAATGACATATGTGGGAGGGGCCCAGTATCACTGGGGGCGGAGTTTGCCATTTTCCATTTTTCAATTTTTTCTTGGTTTCTAAGCATGGAAAAAATATAGCAAGTGCACCTATGGATAAGTGCACGTGTCCTTTATAAGCAGGAGCAAGTGAGAGGTTCGCAGGATTTTTTGGGGCGAAAATCCAATTTTTGGCACTACGAGTTGCTCGTATGTTTTGGCTCTAAACTTTTCGTGAACAGCAAGTTATGCCAATGTTCGGATGTCATCTTGTAGAGTTTCCTTTGCCCTATCGATCGGTACCCCTCACATAGTTTTTTGGATTTGTCCTATGGCTTTGCCATGAAAAACGACATTATTTTCTTGACAACCTAATAGAAGGTCGGCATATTTTCGTACGCGGAGGAGGTCTCAATAATGGGGGTTTTTTTATTTGCTCGCAAAAATTTTTATGCAGCAAAAATAACTCGACTTTTCTCTAACCGCAAAAGAATCTCTGAAGTATAGCCTACTTAATGATTGCAGCCAAATATGTCTGCCCATCCTCATATGAAAGTAGTATCAGTTCAAACTGGACGGTTTGAAGAAAACCTTGCAGAATTTGAAAAATTTTTCTTTTCTCTTGCTTGCCTATTTAGATTCACGAATAATGCGGAAGTTCTTTTCATGGAAACTTTTTCTTGGGCAGGACTGCATTTTGGCGGGTATATGCCAAGAATAACGATAGCTGGCAGTAGTGGCACCCTAGTAGTGTCCGGTTGTCAAGAAATGGTATACGGGTAACACCTTCCCAGCAGCGGGCGAGTTTACGCAGTTCACATATTGTAGCAGTGAATGCCCGACCATTTCTTTTTTCTTCTTGTAAGCTTCATGTAAGCTTTATTTCTTCATGTAAGTTTTATGTTAAGGCTTTTGTTTTTTAAGGATGGAAATAATCAGCAATCACATCGTCATAAATTCGCGATAGAGATGTTTTGTCCCTCAGCATGTGACTTACGTAAGCTTCGAAGATCAATGCAGGAAACGGACTTTGATGAAAATGGAGTTCAAATCATTTTTTTCGGTTTCACCAAATAACACCTTCAACACAATAACGCTCTTCCAAATAACACCTTTAGATCACTAGTGAACTAGTGATCTAAAGGTGTTATTTGGAAGAGCGTTCGCTTCGGGACCCGCCGCGTTTCCCGCTATTGGAAGAGCTGAGCTAACGTTTTTTACATATTAGATAAATGAGTAAGGGCGGGCTGTTCTTCACTTGCGAGCAGCTCAGCTAGCGGCAGGCAGAGCTATCGTTATTCTTGACCGCCACCCCATTTTGGCAACTTTGCTTCGGGACTTGAATTCATCACTGGAAAGTTGATTCGCCAAGCAACAGTGAGCACGAGAAAGAGCAGGAAAAGTGCTTCTAGAAGATGTCTTTGACAATGCCATAAGTGCAGAACCCTAGGGAAATAGCTGCGTTAAAACAAAGCAATTGAAAATCGGACAGAACTTTTGAACAGCCTAGTGTTATGGCCCAGTTCCGGCCATGTATGGTAATATCTCTATAGTATTTGTAACTTTAACCCTTTTAAAGGCTTCATTTTGAGAAAACTGGCACAAGCTAACTAGTGCCTAAGCCCAAAAAGACGTGCTCAGCGTACCGTATTCTGGCCATGACTCCGCCCATTTCTTCAGCGCGTTTGTTAGCGCAAATGGTAGGCTGAGGTCATCTTCACAAGCAATCCCTTGCAGGGCATCGAATCGCGATGTGGCTGGCAGTGGGTCAAGCTTCCAACCACAAATCGTTCTGAAACGAGGCTTTTGTAATGTGCACAATCTATTTTTTCTCTTTCTCCCCTTCTCACCCCATCTTTTGAAACGAAGAAGTCAGTTAATATCAAGTAGCTCACCTGCTAGATAAGTAGTAGTTGACTAGTGAATTGTCCGCTGTGTCAATCGTGCTTAACTTCTCGGCATATACCAAAGTCTGCCGTTTTACAGAATTTACAATTACTACAGAAAATGGTGATCCTTCGAGATTGGCACAGTAGTATTCGCGATCACCCTGAAACTCGTGTTAATCTGAAATTCTTTTTCAATTTGAGCGCTGCACTTATAACAAATATTGTGGTGACTGATAGTAATGATTCGAAGTAATCGACTAGGGGAGGGAATTCATCAATCTCCCTCTCTGGTCGCTGCTTCACTGTTATAAGCGAACACCCGATACTGAGCATCGCTTGATCGGTCGCTTGTTTATAAGCACACGCCATGTAATCCACTTGATTCACTTGATCCACTTGATCCACTTCGGGCAAAGCCCACCGTCACTACCTTGTCATTTTAGGTCGCTTAGATAAAGAAAATCTGTACGATTGGCAAATTCGCTGTACGCGACACCAAATGACAACTTACTCACTGCGCGTTCTACACGAAATGGACCTAGCCGATCAAGCTGGTCAAATGGAACAATGGAAATGGACCTAGCGGATCAAGTGGATCAACAATAACGTGTGTCATCGTCAAAACAACGCCTAACTAAAGATCGGAGGAATGATAGCTTAGCTCCCAGGAGCACATTTTTCAGAGAGAGTCTTGTAAGCTTTATGTTCTTTGCTTAACTGAGCTTATTCGTCTCGAAAACTCTGAAAATGCAGCTTGTAGAATGCAAGAATGATGAAGAAAGGCCTGTGTCCGGGAGCTAACTGGAAATTTGAAGTGGCGCAGAGCACGTCAAGTTCCAGGAATTTCGCGGAATCAACGCGAAGCACGCAAACTACGCAGCGCCATAGCTTCCTTCGCAATGAATATATTCTGAATCCGAAAGCAGCATTGTACTCATTCAGATCATCAAGGCGAATCTTTTGATATACAGCATGTGCTTGATTTTTCGATTTCAGTATTCTTGAAACTTTCTGCAGACGTCTTTTTGCAATGGTGTAAAGCAGCGCGTATCGTCCCCAGTAGATTCCAGAAAGAACCTTTCGATAGTACTTCTTCTGTAAATTATGGGGCGCTAAGAAATAGTCGTGCACTTCTTTCCAAAGGAAATAGAAGGGCTGGTGAATTTTGGAAAAATCATGTCTTTTTCAATTTTTCTCACCATAACTCTATATATGAAGCTCTCTTGCTAAGCAGATGTGAATTTCGCAATCAGCAGGTTGGATAACCCTTAATGAGCAAGTTTTCCGAGATGTTCGGGTGATTTCATTTTTTCTTGTTCTATGCTCTGAAGCGGCCGATGGATTTTTGTCAAAATGTTGATGATTTTGAATTGTAAAGAAACTCCGCACATAGAGGTTTTCGAACACGCTGTTTATAAAAATCGTGGTCTCCGTCAAGTATATGGTCTTTTTGCAGAGATATGGCGAGGTGACTGTAACGGTGTCACAAAAGTGCGTAATTTCTCCTGCACCTATTGTGTATCTGTCAGAAAACTTGCCCGCTTGCTTTTGTAGGTTGAATTTACTGGGAACTGTGCCATCGAATGGTGCATGTCAGAGGCTCCAATCTATGAAAATCCCCGATTTATGAGCCTACGAAAACACGTCCTCATGAACTTCGCTCAAAATTTAAAGACGCATACTTTGCCGAACTTCCACCGCGAGTGATTGTACGACACTCTGATTGCAAATATTATGCACTGTGCTTCAGCTGCTTGGGACATCAACGCAGTTTCGCAGCTAGAGCTCAGATCTGTTTAACTTCAAAGCTAACACGGAAATATTCATTAAGCGAATAAACTGATTTGACCAGCCTATTATACAACCACTCAAGGTGGAATTTCAACGAATACGCGATCTTTACATTTCAACAAAATTCATGATGTGTATTCGTAGGCTAGTAACTGAGCGATTTGTGTAGAGTGGAGTCTGAGACCTGCACCATTCGATGGCACAGCTCCCAGTAAATGTAACCTATAGAAGCAAGTGGACAAGTTTTCTGACAGATATGCGAGAAGTGCAGGCAAATTTACGCACCTCCGTGACTTAGTTACGGTTACCTCACCATATTTCTGCAAAAACACCCTATATTCCTCGAAGACCACGATTTTCGTGTCCGAAAACCTCTGTAAGCGAAGTTTCCTTGCAATTCGAGATCATCGACATTTTGGCCAAAATCCACTGGCGAGCTTCAGAGCGTAAAATGACAAAAAAAGAAATAACCCAAAACATCTCGAAAAACTTGCTCATAGAGGTTATCCGACCCGCTGATACGAAAATCATATATGCTTAGTAAAAGAGCTCCATATTTTAGGGTTATGGTGAGAAAAATTCAGAACGACATGCTTTTTTCAGAAATCACCAACCCTTCTACTTCTTTTAGAAAGAAGTGTGCAGCTAATTCTTGGCGCGCCATAATCTACAGAAGAAGCACTATCGAAAGTTTTGTCTGTACACCAATGTTTCCAACAAGTCTGCCATGGAAGCCGTGTTTGAGCTTCTCATGGAACATCAGGAATCTCTCCACATGTACGGCCTCACTATTCAGCAATTAATGACCCTCTTGAGTGAGTGCTTAAACTGCTGCATTTTCCGTTGGTCTGGAAGGTATTACAGACAAGTTACAGGGTTAGCCATGGGGCAAAGACTAGCTCCCACCGTTGCTATTGCCTTCATGTCCAAAATTGAAACCCTAGTACTTGCCCGCAAGCCATTATTATACTGCCGCTACATAGACGATTGTTGTGTAGTATGGTCACAGACCTCGAGACAGCGACAATTGGCTTGCCTTCCTCAATGTGCAGTATACTTATCCAATGGGGTATACAAGACTAAATGGTTCCGTAAGCCTAGCAGCAAAAATATACTAGTCCATTATAGCTCTGCACACCTTGGAGCACTAAGAGATCCGTAGTAAGCAACATATTCAGAACGGCGAAGGCGGTCTCCTCAAATGCGCAGGAACGCACAGTATCGATGAATCTGGCTACACAGATCGCGCAGTCTAACGGTTACCCCATAACAGGCTATCAGTCCAAATTCAATTATTTGTCAGGGCGTAGATCGCGCACACTTGAGCAGCCTCTAGAAATTCCTTTCTGCGTTCCCTTTATTTGCGACGAATTTAGCAGAGCTATCAGGAAAAGTCTGCAGCACGCGGGGCTTGAAAATGACGTAAGAGTCGTAGACATACCACCCCCTAACCTCAGAAAACAACTTATACGAAATCGTGCCTACGACCGGTTATGCACAATTCCTGAGCGTCATTTGTCCATACGGAAGACAGGGAGATTGCATGGAGTCCGGCGTAGTACATCTGATTACGTGCCAGACATGTGGAGATCAGTACGTAGGGGAAACCGGCAGGCCCTTGTGCGTACGGGTCAAGGAGCACCTAGACGGGCTCAAAAAATCGAAATTGTCTACCCTCTAGGCGCCCACCGCAGGCAATGCCATAACGATCACTACTATGACGTAGCTGTCACCATCTTATCGCAGGGACCTGATACAGTAGCGCGAAAGACGTTGGAGGCATTTTGGATAGCATCAAAAACTCCAAAAATAAATCGCAAAGAAGAGTGCATTGCCGTGACGACCGAATTAGCACCCTATCAAGCCCTTTGTGGCTTTTGACCTACGGATCAGGTCAGGTCATCTGTGCTGTATATTTGGTGGTATAGCAGTACACAGTAACGGCGCTATCCATATAGGTGGTCTGCTCGTAGTCTCCATTGCTGACTTTTGAGGTAAGCATTAGCTTAGTTACCTCTGCCTTCATCTTGCAATTACCTTGTGTTGAAAAGTATCTGTTAGTAGGTGACTTAGTGCTTAAAAGAACAGTTTCGCATAGTTTTTGATCTTTCAGGGCTCCGAAGAAGGAGTTGTACTCCAAAACGTTAGTCGAGAAATAAAGACTGATACCAATCTTGGCCACTGCTCAAATAGTAATCAAAGTTAATGGACGATGCCAAGATTAATCGACAATCGAGCTCTAAGCACTATCGAAAGGTTCTTTCTGGAATCTACTGGGGACGATACGTGCTTCTTTATACCATTGCAAAAAGACGTCTGCAGAAAGTTTCAAGAATACTGAAATCGAAAAATCAAGCACATGCTGTATATCAAAAGTCGAGAGAAGTTTGCCTTGATGATCTGAGTGAGTACAATGCTGCTTTCGGATTCAGAATATATTCATTCCGAAGGAAGCTATGGCGCTACGTGTGATTCGCGTTGATTCCGCGAAATTCCTGGAATTTCGCGAAATTCCCAAAATGTCGAAATTCCGGGAATGTCGCGGACTTTCGCGGAATTCCTAGATATCCGCGACATTGCCGGAAATTTTTGCACATTCTGAGGGCATTGTATACACTTCCCATTGGGGTTGTAGCTTGATAGAAACTCCTACAGTGACGTGCTATGCTTATGGAGTTCCATCATTCGACGCATCGAACATTCGAATATTCGATGACCATCGATTCGACTTTCGAATAATATTCGAAAGTTGAGATTTTAATATGCGAATATCGAATATATTCGAAAACTGAAAATTTCGAATACTCGACTTTCGAATTTTATTTGAAACTAGTTGACTTACCCGGCTCCGCCCGGCCCTGTCATTATTATATTCGTAATCAGCATGCTCGATTACCTCCTGTGCCAACTCCCAGCCCCGTAGCTCAAATTTTGCAAAAAATCGATAGAATCGATATCGATCGATGATGAAAAGTAGCCTATGACACCCGCCGGGGCCCGAAGTGTATGTGTGCCAAGTTTGGTCCGGATCGGTTCAGAAATGGAATTTTCTATTCGGAACATACGTACATACAGACAGACAGACAGACATACAGACAGACAAACAGACATTCAGCTTTATATATAAGAATCTCAGATTTTCGAATATTAGACTTTTCGAATCATTCGTATTCGAATGTTTTATTCGAATGATCGAATAATCATTCGATTCGGTCCCAAGTATTAGGTTGTCAAGAAAATAATGTCGTTTTTTATTTGCTTGTTTTGACAAAGCAGTCAGACTCAATCCAACAAAGGTTAATGGGTATTGTTCGATAGAGCAAAGCAAGCTCTACAAGATGGCGTTCATGATTTTGCGCCGAGCTCGATC